CAGTGTTTACATTTGCACATATCTAGTTTTAATAATAATAATAATAATTAATCATAAGAGAACAAATTTTGTCAACAAGCAAAGCCGCATAATTATATATTTTATAAATATTTTCATGAAGAGAAATCTCATGTTAATTAATAAATCAGATTATGAACAAAAATAATTGTTATTTAATTACATTAAATTAATAAGCAATAATCAAAAAATTTAATATCGAATTATATTTCTAAATCCTATTTTATTTTGCTGATTAATACGTATGTAAAATCTTCTACTATTCGAGATTCGGAATATTAATAGTAAATATTATGTAATCTTTGATTGAACTTGCAAACATTTTTTCGTATAGATACAAAATATATATTAATTAGTAAAAAATAATAATTTAATTCCATAATGTAATTATAAAACCACGAGATATTTCAAAAAAAAAAAAGCATAATGCCTTTAAGCACACGTACAACACATATTAAAGTTTTAATTTAATAATTTTATGATGTATTAGTTGTAGAGTTATTCCTTTGTATTACACCTAGGTTACATTATTATCATAAATTTCAATAAATTGATAAGTATTGTAATTACAATATACATATACCATAAATATTTCACACATTTACATTTACATTAGCCCTGTACGTTGAATAATCAAATGATATTATATAATCTCAATATTTATATTCAAATAAAATGTATACTAATATATCAGAGGTAAAAAAACATTCCTCTCTTCATCGATAATAAATATTACTTTTAAGCTCTATTTATCGGTTAATTAAAATTATTATTACACCTTATTAAAAAGATTTTCTATCGATACTCTCAAGTAAAATAATCAACAAAATATATGAAAACATATTTAACCTTTGCTTACCACTCTTGGTCCAAAGGACCCAGACCTTTTTTGCGACTCAATTTTAAGTACTTAAAGCAAATGATAGCCGGTATACTACACCATTTCCCAATAGTTGAAGAGTTTAACCACCCTTCAGACCGTTTTGTGTAACGTTAGAGCCCTTAGTATACTTTTGGCAGCTGTTGAAAAAATGGCCCGGGTCCAAAGTACCTAAGTATGGTAAGTACGTTTGAAAATGATTTTTTGGAATGAATTTTTTTTTTTATGTATTTTGGCTTTAGATTGAAGAAAAAAGTATATAATATATGTTTAGCAACATTTAATTTTTTAACGCGCCATGTACCTTGTTTTTTAACCGCCAATGTACATTGTTGGGGGACAGGAACTCGTATAGTCACGTGATTGCTCGCGAATGATTCAACTAACCACAGCCGTTAATACATACTAAAGATAAACATGGCTGCGCGATGCAACGGAAGCTGTCCCCCCACATTTTCAGCCTAGCAGTGTATATGGCGCGTCCCTCCTATAGGGTCCCTACGAACATTCTGTCGTTATGTGCAACGATTGTTGTGATTTATGATAACAAAAAATACTATTTTTATACATATTTCATTCATTTTATATTACTTTCATATAAATGTAATAAAATAATAAGATTTTGAATAAATATAATACTCCAACAGCTGATATAATGGAGTATTTTGAAAAAAACGAGTTCATTTTTTTATCTTTTTTTCGGCAATCATTCTTCAAAATAAATATACTTTTTGAAAGATCCACTAAACTACTATTTCTTTTCTTGTACTAGTACACTAGTAGAAGACTCAGCTAAATCTTTTGGCCTTAATATTGAGAATTAAAAAAGTTATGAATTTTTTAATAAAAAGAGTCATTTTTCTCAATTTTTCAACTTTGGTAATTTTTTAAACATATTTAAATTTAATTTAAAGCTATAAAACCTATATAGTCTTTTTAAGTAAGTATTAAAGAAGTCTCAAAAAAATGTTGAAGTAAATCTATGCAATAGTTAATTTTTTATAACAATTTTTATCGCCCGGGTCCGAAGGACTCGGGTTCGGTAAGCGTGTTACTCCAGGGAGGTGTGGTAAGCAAAGGTTAAAAGACAATCGATAAATAAATAAACATTTGAAATTTCGATTATTTGATTGCATAGTAGATAACAGTGGAAAAATAAAAGAAGAAAAAGAAGAAGAAGAAAGAAAAAAGGATCGACAAAAGAATTTCACGAAAAAAAAGAAAAAAGCATTTAAACGGGTAAGCGAGAATAAAAGAGTTGTGTGTATCACGGTATGGACTAAAGGTGAACTCCAACCCATTTTCCTCGAGAATTGTTCGCCATGAATGAGCGAGGCAACGTCGTCCTTCATTAGCCTGTACCGGAAATGGAGTTTTTCCTACTTTCCGGTCCGTCAATAAGACGCGTTCGAGTCTGGGCTCCTCTAGCAACGTAAAAAAAAAACGTGCAAAGCGTGTGAATAGCATTTCCGACGGAACCTGGAAACGGGCTAACAAAAATGTCACAGTCATTCTTCTGCCTTAATTATCCGTCACGGAAACGGTTGCGTCCGTGCAGAACTACGATGCCGCAGTACCACAACCGTTAAAAAACCTCGAGATGGTCTTGCATTCTTTCATCATTCGTTCCTCTCAATTCGTAAATTAAATTTTTAATATTTTTTTCACACACACACATATTCTCTAATTTTATTTCTATACATCGATGATTCTATATAAATCATTCGTTTTACGATTTTGGAAATATCATCGAAATGACATTACATTGAAAAGGAAATGAAAGGAGATGGAAAATAATATGCATATATGGGGCATTTTCCACATCAAATCGGCCACTTTTGACCCTGACCCCTTTCGATTTGGCTGAAAGTTTTTCATCCTATTCTGCCCTATGAAAAACAGTTCATTTTTTTTATTTGATTGAAAAGAAATTTTTCAATTTTCAAAATTTAAAATGTTTGTTTTTATTTTTTAAACTTTGTTTTTTGAGACTATAAATTGAGTGTATAATATTGTAAAATTGTTTAATTGCATTAATTTAATTTCAAAAAAAAAAAAATTAAAAATTTTGAAAATTAAAAAATTTTTTTTAATCAAATAAAAAAAATAAAAAGCTAACTCAGCCTACTCTGGGACTGGATAATCGCAGAATTAGTCAAAGTTATTTTTTAGAAAATAAAAAAAATTAAAAATGGCGAACTTCGAGAAAATAACGGTTTTTCTCCAAAAATGCGAAAATTTCATGGAATTTATAATTTTGAAATTTTTTTGTATTTTTCTCTGAGAAGTACATTTAAAAACAAAAATTTAAAAAAAACGTCCTAATTGGTTGAATTTTGAAGAAGTTATAGCCATTTAAAAAGAAATAGCTATTTTTTTCAAAAATTAATAATTTTTCTTGGGTTTAGTAAAATAATTTGAAAAAATTTTGAGAACTGTTTTTCATAGGGCAGAATGGGATAAAAAACTTTCAGCCAAATCGAAAGGGGTCAGGGTCAAAAGTGGCCGATTTGACGTGAAATGCCCATATATATAAATTCGAATCCAATTAATTATTATAGATATAGATTATAATAAATATAAATTTAATCTTTTTATATCTCCAATCGAATATACGATGTAATTGAGGAGAATAGAAATATTGTTACATATATATACAAAATAATATAGAGAAACAAATTGTTAGATAAATATTCGAAAATCATTAAGAAATTATGTTAATAGAAAGACAAATACATTTCCATTAGTACCAAACTAATGTCATTAAAATCTAAAGTCATAGCAAACTTATATTCTCCGGATGGAAAAAAATCCGGAAAATTATCCATAGGTATAGTGAAGCAACCGGTATCTATAGAAATCTGAAATATTACAAAATAGCGTAAGTTAATTAATAAATCATGATAAACCTTCAAATATATCAAATAATCATTGATTCAAAAGATTCAAAATAAAAATAAATTATTATACCGGTTGTATAGGACATTCCAAGGGTATCTTCATCACCTGCAAAATTGGGCCGATAAAGCTGGTATCGTTTATCATTTGGCACGTTGTCATTTGTATTTCAATACCAGTTGGTTCAGTAGGCTCACCATTAACCATTCCATATAGATTGCACTTACACTAAAACACGTTAAACAACATCGTGCGTTCAAATATGTACTTAAATATAAATTATTGTATACATTCAAATTATACATAACTATTATAAGTACAAATTTCGTAAACTCGCTTATGCTGTATCAACATGCGCGCACACACACAGACACACCCGTTTTTACAGGTATATAAATTAAGTTTACTATTAAATTTAGTAATTATAATTCACCATACGAAGAGAAATTTTTCTTGTAATTATTCACATTTTAAATGGATTTTTTTTACAGAAATTTTATAAATTTAAACACTTATCCAATGCTTATTGAACTATTCTTACCATTGCTTCTGAAGGTATTTCTTTTATAAAATCACATATGAATTTAATTATGGGTAACATTTCGTCGTTATCGCAAGCATCTAGTTTACAATTCTGAAAATATTCCTCATTAACTTGTAAATCGATGCTATCGACAATAATCTGCAAATCGGACTGCAAACAAAAAAATTGATTGATGATTAATCTTTATGACTTATTCATTTTTTCTTCGAAAAAACAAACCGTCCTCAATAAGATTATTTTGTCTATTTTAGACATAGCTCGTTCTACGTTGTGTGTTACGTATATAAAAAATATTGTAACAAATATGCGAAAGGAAAATATCATGTCAAAGATGAACTATTAAGATAATAAGATGTAAAAATTTAAAACGGAAAGCAATAGGAGTTAGTAAGAAATAAGCAATTAGTAAAAAAAATAAATAAGGAAAATACTTATTGAAATACAGTTATATAAGCATCATTATAAAATAAAAGGAAGATCATATTTCAGTGCATTAATTGTGAGTTATGTAATTATGTGTTATGTTTCGTTTACTAGAATTTTCTTCTTTAAATATATCAGAAATGAAATATTACATATAAACATAAATAATTGTATTTTTGTTATATTTCCAATTTATTATATATATATACATTATATGGGGCATTCCACGCCAAATCGGATTGTTGTAAAAATTTTTATTTTTGATTTCCGCCATTTTTTGATATTTTTTAGTACCCATCGAAAAAACGTTCCTCTTAAATTTTGGCATTTTTTTGATCATCCATTCCAAAGATATCGAATTTAAAAAAAAAAACAGCTTTTTCTGTGGTTTTTAGCCCGTAACTTTTTTAAAACTCATCCAAATGAAAATTACCATTCTACATAAAAGTTTTGTTTTTCAATGTGCTTTTCGAAAAAAAATTCAAAAAAATTATTTAAAGTGTCTTAATACGTAATTTTCGATTTTTAAACTTTAAATTGCATTTTTTGAAGTGAAATTTTTTTTTATTTTATTAAATTTTGTCATTTATTTCTCTCTTTCAGTGTATTTTGAAACACTTTACATATTTTGTTTTGTTATAACAAGTGTAGGAAAGTCTTAATTACTGATTAAGATTAATAATTAACGAAAATAAGAAAAGTCTTGATTTATTTTCGTGATTATTTGAAAAATTTTGGCAGTCTATTATCCAATCCAATTTTCTGTAATAAAATAGATTTTTTATGTGGATAAAAACATTAAAAAAATTCATTGCAAATTTAAAAAATAAAAAAAATATAGTCAACCAAATATTGCTGTAAAGTTTTCTCCTGAATCAGATTACACAGAAGCAAAGATAAAGCTAGATATGAGATACAATATCGCGAAGTCAATCACCGGAACCCAAAAATTGCATTGTATTCTTCCAAAAGATAATGGAACTATGCAAGTTAAAAAATATTCAAGTTCTATTTATGATCGCACATGTAAAATTTTCAAAAAATCATAATATTCATGAACCAATTCAAAAACCATATATATTCATATTTTTCTAATATTTTCCCTATATTTTTTAAAGAAAAAAATGTTCAAGTAATGTATTAAAATAAGATAAACGTTTTACCTGTGCTAATCCTGATCGAAGTTTACACAACCCAATCAATAAAATTAATACTTGCCAACCCATCATTACACTTGTTATGGCTGTCTCATAACAACTACTGAAATTCATACTATCACAGTTCATTATATCATCAGTTATTTTATTAAAAAAGAAGGACTTGACACGAAACGTTGATTCACGTTAGTGCGATAGGATCATGCTCATTGTTGTCACCGGTTGATCATTAATAATTGTTCTTACATGTATACGTAATGCATAGCAATATTGACACCTCTGTGAAAACCAGTAATTATTAATTTATGAAGATCATTATTAAAAGCAAACCACTGGTTGAACAAGAAAATTAATTGTTCTTGAAATAATAAACAACATTTGTAACATGAGTAAGAGTAAAAGAAAAAAGTTTCACATAGTTAAAAAAAATATAATCGAAAAATGCAAGATTATATAACACACACGTTACATGATATCTCGTAAATATAAAAAATATAAATTTATAACATGTAATACGAGTAAAGAGAACACTGATAAATATTATAAGAGAAGAAAATAACATCAAGTAGGTCGTTCTAAACTAATAAAACTTATAACTTTGTAATTTCTTGTTCATAATAAATTATGAATAATGAAATAATAATGAATATTCCATCGAAAGTTACAATTACTTAAGTTTTCATTTTATTGAAGAAAAAAAAGAAAAAGAATAAAATCTCAGTCGTCTTTATCATTTTTTATTTCCACTTTTAATAATGAATTAATGAATATTCTCTTAAGTAATATAAGTACTTATCCTTAATATTATTAAAAGATACAACATAAAATTGAATAAGATCCGTTCTAATCACTTTTTAATATCTATTAATAATAATTAAATAAATATAATAATATCGTTTCGACGGATAATTAAATAATAATGAATACTCTCTGCGAGTATTACGGATTCATTCTGGTTCTTACGCCGAAAAAAAGGCTATTTTCACGATTTTTTTTAGGCTTTGTAGGATACATATACATGTAAAAGTTGTTGGGTATGATAAATACACTCTAGAAGTACAAGAAAAAAATTTTTTTTATTGTTTTTAACATATTTTGACATTGAAAATGGCTGACAAACGAGAACCTTTCAAAAGTAGGTATGCTGTTAGCGGGCATCGAAATTTGAGAACGGTTGATCTAAAACAAAAAAATTAAACGGTCTTAAATTCAGTATGACAATGGCTATCGGGTATGCTAAAACTATCAATTTTTATGAAAACAAAACAAAATGACGGCTATTTTTCGAAAAATAAAAAAATCGTTGATTTTTTTCGCACTTTTTTGTAAAAATATATATAGTAAAAATTAATATTTTGACTTGGTTATAGCATGCGAGATAGCCATCCATGTTTAGAGTATGTGGTTAAAATTTCAGAAGGATCGGTTGAGTAGTTTCAGAGATATCATGCCCGCCAACCGAAAAAACGTTGTTTCAAGAAAAACGCGTTTAAAGTTTTTTTTAACAAATTTTTAAAAAGTCTGACTTTACCTTATTCTGCGATGCCTACCCCATACAGTATGCCCCTTCTGCTTCTTCAAAATACTCATTATCTTCCACTCTAGCCTTTTTTCGTTGTGTCCTGGCCTCTTTTAAAGATTCTCCGCTCAAACGATTGGTTGAGCGCACACGCGTGTTGTCGCGGTTACTAGCGTAATTGACTGCGATAGGGCCAAGTTTTATCCCCAAAACGTGCATTATTTTCAGTATTGGATCAAACCTTCGTTGAATATACAAGATGCCAATTTACAAGCTATTTCAACAATTTTTTTACCATTAAATAGGTGTTTAGGCACTATAACCCAAATGCATTTGTTGAAGCACTCATTATTATTTTGAGTGTGGCCACCTAAACATCTTTCAAGTAATTCTGTTTTGGTAAGGTCTACTTTAACCTTTTGTTTTTTGCTGCTATATTCATGCAGAGACATTTCCACTTACACAACCGCAAATGGTTTGCCCCTCTATCTGTAATATCTCTATGTGTTTGGATCGCAAAATAATATACTTAAACTGCTCAGATCGTTCTAAAATTTTTGTATGATAATTCTGCATATGTCTACCTCCGAAAAATGCAAAAAAAATTGATTTTTTTAAAATGATTAACCAGAATGAACCCTTAAAAACATAGTTTTTCTCGATAAAACTTATTCCAACTTGTTTTAATAAATTAAAATTCGTTCTATAAATTATTATTACATCTAACATAAGTAACTTCCTACAATTTCTTAGAATAATAAACAAACGATAGACGTTTATTTTTTTTTACCTTCCACTAAATGAAATAGTAGAAAAAAAAGTCGTTACACAAGCAATCATTGAGTTTTTTTCGTGAAGGTAAGTTAAAAATGAACGTTTGATCACCGCAAACTAGCGAAACTGGGGCTGGGGCTGGGGCTAGGGCCAAGGACGAGGACGGGGCCTGAGCCGGGGCCCCGGAACACAGCCTTTCACATTTAATCCTGGATCCTTCCTTGTTATCACGCTCACTGTCGTGGCGTGTCGCTGTATCGCGAAGAACGCTCGAACCGCACCGAATACCACCCCATCGACTGTTAACATTGGCATTCGCCCAGTGCACTCACAAAGAGGTGCATAACGTGACCTGTTTTCATTACTCTCGACTATCCGGCTTTTGCCGCTTACAAAAGCTCGCACGAGTGAGCCTGAAACGAGGAACGTAACTACGAGTGCACCAAGTTAGTAGTGTAACTTCAGAAGAAAAAGAGAGAGAGAAATAAAGAGATAAGTTAAGGTAATGTTATGAAAAGGCGACATTGAAGTTTGTTATAACTATGACTACCCTGTTTGATATCCCAGTGTGTTCTTTTACAAGTAACAAGGAACGTCGAAGAAAAGGATCAACTTTGTATTAGATGTTTGCAAAAGTTCGTTGATATTGCAAATAAGTAGAAATTACTCTTCAAGTTTTATACTGTTTTGGTATTTTCGTTTTCTTTCTTTTAAGGAACTTTAAGAAATTTATAAAAAGGGTTCTATTTATGATTTTAAAATTTATTTATAGTATCTTTAAATAATCTCATTTATGTTTTAGATAGTACGCACGAGATTAAAATTTATCTACAGTATATTAAAGTAACGCGTAACCTCGCTTTTTTTCCTAGGTAAAAATGAAACTCAATTAAGTACAACGCTCATTACAATCTACGCAAATGTATGCTTTTTTATTTCACATAGGAACTAAAAATACGAACATAGGTATATACACTATTACTTTAAAAAAATAGATCGTTTATACAAATTCTTCGGATTACGCATATGCTAAATTATGTATTTCTCTAATAATATGTATTAATTACTAAAATTTTCTTTCATTTACACTCTTGCATTCATTGTCCACTTTAATGTTTTTGCTTTTGTAGGGTTCAGAAAAAAAAATATATATATATAGTATTAATATATTAATGGAATTCGGAGAAAAATATATTATAGTTTATTTAATTATTATATCGTCGAGCGATATTTACAAATCTTTACAAAAAGTGGCGTAATTGTAAAAATACCGAATACAAAAGAGTTACAAATATAAACCGACTGACTGACTGACTGATTGATAAACTGACTGATTTGCAGAATGACTGACATAACAGATAATACACAGACTGATTGTATAATTAGTGGACAGATACAGACAGCCTAAAGGACTAAAGACGCTTTCTTACTTTCCTTTCACATATATATATCAGAAATGAGCTACACCCCTTTGGAGGGGGAAGGAAATTATAAATTATATGATGTCCGCCAACGGCGGGCAAAGTTCGATCAGAATTATATAATGTCTCATTCGAGAGGATTACTTCCCACCTGGGTAACATCCCCACCCGGTTGAGAATTTTATTATTTTCCCTCGATATTACTCTCTAAAAAATATGAGCGTCGCGATACGAGGGCGTAGTTCAGGGAGAGCCACCGGTGGCACTCCTTTTCTTCCTGGATACTCTGAAATTATGGAGACATCGCAATGCAATCAGCGGTACTACGTGTTTTGTAATCCCGAGAATGAGACATTATATAATTTTGATCGAACTTCACCCGCCTTCGGTGGGCTCGTTTGATCCTTTAATCTTACTGACCAATAGTAGAAGGATCCACTCTTCATAGTCCACCAATGGGTACAGCTTATGTTTTTGGTAAAGATCGTAGTGAAAACTACGTATAAAGGAACTTCGTTCTAAAATAAGGGAATATCATTTTTTCTTATGGTGTCGCATGTGTTTACATAGGAATCCGAAACTACTCGAAGGACCCAACACTGCACAAAGGTTTTCGTCGCACCAATATGTTTCGATAATTCTTAAGTTTGTTTGGGATTTTATGGCCATCCCAGAATATTCCTTTTAGTGAAGTTTTTTCTTTTACTAAGATCGATAGCGTATTCAAAATAAAATATAAAGGAAATATGTAACTAAATATTAGTCTTATCGTCTACACTTTCAGTCGTACGATTTATTTCTCTTATATTTTAACATAAGTCTTTTTTCAACTGTTGAACTGTAACGATGACGCATTAGCAGTAATCGAATATTACAGATAACAATTTTTAAATCTTCATAAGTCAAACAAAAGAATAATGCAAACTATAGAATTTTCAAAAACACAATTTTTACGAAAATAAAATTTCAAACGAACAAAACTTTACTCCCTTTTTCGAATTATTTTTATTATACATGTAGAATCATCCCTGTTGGGGCCTAAATTCCTCAATTAAGAGTCCTCTGGCAATTTTGTATATGGTTCACAATCGGAAAGGTTGGGATGTGCTCTTTGTTGTTCCTTGTGAATCCTTAAGTCCTTTGTTCCGTATTGCTTCTATATTCTTTATATGCTGAAGGTGTATCGTCGTAGGCGTCCGGTGGCGGAATAGAAAGAATGGTCCTTTGAACTGGCCCAGCAGGGTGCATATATAGTGGAGGTGCGAGAGGTAGGGATGCGAGAGGTGGTGGTAACTATCGTAGCACTTCGACAGTCGCCGGTAGTGTTCGATACTCGTTAACCCATTCGAGACGGCGATTTTTTTCGAACACGGTCCCCAGGAGCGAAATTTTTTTTTTTGTTCATATTGTTCATTTTTAATAAAAAAACTTGTTTACTACAGAAATCACCCAATTCGTAAGCGAATTTGCATAAATAAGATGATTGCACACCGTGTGTGYAACTCGCTCCTCAGAAAATTTTTATTGCGAGGAGCGGATTGAACACCATGTGTGCAATGTAAGGTAA